TGATTGGTTGGTTTTGTTTTTGTTTTGGTCTGGCTTATTTTATCTGAGCCAAAGTCCTGAATAGTTGTGATAACCTTTTATTACTCTTTCTTTCCTTACTGCTGTGTCATTTGACTCACTCTTGCTAACTTTTCTGTGGAAGGAAAAATTAATTTATGTTAAGAAGCAAAGTGGGTGCCAAACAAACATCCTAATGTGGAGGTTTGGGGTTTTTTTTCCCAGCTGTGTGCTCAGTTTTCAAGCTCTTAAGGTGATATAGTATTGTATCAAACTGTCAAATTAGATATTATTGGAAGATATTTTTGTTTCTTTTCTTGCTGCACTTTAAGTTATTGTATGCATAAAAGCGTGGGGTTTGAGTTGCTTTTTTGTAGGCCAAGTAAGTGTTTTTGTGCCTGCTTTTATACTGTATAAATATCTAGTATGTCAGTTACGTGTTTGTATCACTATCTTACAGTAACTTTCCAGTAATAAAAAACCCTGTTGGGGGATGTGGATGCCCCTGTTCACAGGTGTTGAGCAGGCATAGTGTTCAGCACCCTCCAGAAAGGTAATTGGGTTTGCCTGTCAGAATGGGGTAGGTGCAGGCTGATAAGTGCCTGTGGTACAGCTGAGTGTGGAGCCTCTGCAGCTGCATCCTTGGTGTTCTGCTGAGCCCCTGAGCAGAGGCTGGAGGCTCACCCAGGTAGGCTCTGCCTGGTCTGAATTTGGCTCAGGTATGTCCCTGGACTGCCAGCACCCTGTGCTTTCCCTTTGGCACGCTCTCTGCATGCCTGTTGCACCTTCCAGCAGCTGGGAAGAGCTCACAGATCTTATCTGGACAGCAGTACTGATATTTCCACCACCACCCCCCTCCCCCCCTGCATTTGCTACCCAGGGAAGCGTGTGAAGTACAATAACATACAGTATATGTGGTAAACTTTCTTTCACGTGTAAGAAGTGTGAAATAGCTTAAGTAGACCAGCAGTTTTCAGATTTGATTTCATTAGTGAAACATATTTTTTGTTAGGCTGAAAAGGTAGATATTTTGGTACTTGCTTCACCGTCGGTATTCTCGTTTTTGTCCATGTTTTATTATGTACTTAATAAACTTTTCCAATCTACTTACTTTTGTAAAGCAGCAGGATTTGCAGAATTCTTCTGAAAAGCAGAGTTAACCTAGCCACAGTTGTTTTCATGTGAGGTAAAGTTAATATTATTCCCAAGGTGGTTGCATTAATTTTGGGTGTCTCCTGTTGCTAGCATTTGTCCTTTAAGGCAGGAACTCACTGTTTAAAAAAGATAGAGTTAGGGGAAATCTTAAAACTATGTGTGTGCAAAGATGTTCTTTTTATCTCATCATAAAAGAACTTTTCTAATGGCCTTCATTGTCATTGCTTGTGGCTTGATCCTCAGGTTTAAACGACAAAAAAATTATCCTTTCCTGTTGCTGGACAGCTTTTAGTTCTAATAGAACTAGAGTGGGCAGACTGCTTCTTAAGTAGAAAAAAAGCATTACTTAAAATCTAAATTCTCAGCTCTGGAATTTTTAGTTTTCCAGCAATGTGGTAGGTTATATAAAAGACCAGAAAATGTGTGAAGGGTTCTTTTTGTTTATTTTAATTTTGTGGTAAGTTCAGTTTTCTTACAGGAAGAACTGGGCTTGCTTTTAGAAGCAGCTGTATGACAGGAACTGGATGGGGATGAGGTGATAAATATGAAAGGCTTCAGTATCAAACCAGAATTGTGAAAACAAAACTTCTCCATGCATCATCTTGCAGAAGTGTTAGACTGTGCAAGCTTGGCTTTCTGAATTTGGCTCATCTTAAATGAGCCCTATTGAGTATGTTCTGTAAGAGTGTTAATGTAGTGATAGTTGGGTTTATATAGTGTTTTCAATATTCTGGTAATTGGATGACAAATGCAGACCAGGCATTTCTGTCTTCTAGATTTAGAATCATTCTGATCTACATTTTGCCTTAGCTTTTGAAATGAATCATCTTGCATTTTGTCAGTGGTGCTCAAATGCCAGAAATCCTGAGGTCTAAATGATGATAGTCTAGCAAAACAGGCAACTTGTCCCTATTCCCTAGGGAGTCCAAAATAGGATTCACAGGCCTGCCTAGATGCAAGAACCTTGTAATATTACATTTACTTCTGGAAAAGTATGAAAAAATTCATTTTAATTTATAAAAGTCTTAGAAAATTACTTGAATGAATAAGGCTAGAGGATACTGTGCTCAGGTGGGATTTTCAAAATTACCAGTCTCAAATTTTAGGGTTCTCTAATTTTAGCTGAGTTTTTTGTGTAATTCTAGAAATCTCACCTTTGGATATGATGGTGCTTGAAATTGCAAGTGAAAATGTCTTTCTCATTTGCAAGAGATGATGCAAGACTGTCAGATCAGGAGTGATATGGAAAGATTGAATGACAATCTAGTGCTCCCTGCTTCTTTCCAAAGAAATGTGAGGGGCACTAGTGAAACTAGTAGATTTGAAACAAAAGGATGTTTGGGTTTCTTAGTTTTGTTCCCCCTATGCACACACACAATGTGAACTTTTTACTGCTGTGAACATTAAAAACTTTACACATGTTTACAAGAAGAGAGAACAAGCTCACAGAAGAAAAATTTTTGCTGAACACACAAATATATCTGACCCAGTAGGTGCCGAGATATGACTGAAGTGGAACAGCACTGGAGAACGCCTTGTGTGCTTCTCCTACTGTTATCTTGTTCTCCAGGCATCCAGCCTTGTCTGCCATTGGAGACAGGATTGTAGATTAGCTGCATGTTTGGGGTCTGATCAGCTGTTCTTATATTTTACCTGGTCTCAAGAGCTTTTTTTCAATTTTTGCATTTCTGTGACTGAGGTTACTTCCTTAAGAAACAAAAGTTTGGAGGTTGATTTCATTTACAGATTCCTGACCTGCCTGAAGCATTTTCTGTAGGGTTCTTTTTACATACTTTTAGATGAAAAATATAAATACATATATAAACTTGGTATTGGTATTTCATCAAATGTGAAATACTTGTATACTGAGGTAAAAATATTGCCTGGCATTCTGTTCCTATGAAAGCCAGAATTAAAACTTCAAGCTGAATACATAAAGTATAAAATTGGATATCTTTTGATTTTGAAGTACCATTTGTTGAGGTAAGTCTAAGGTGTTTATAGCAATTTTTTTTTCCTTGTCTTTTAAAACTTCTGGTTAATTAACTAGTTATCAGTATCTAGCTGCCTTTAGATCAAAAACACGCTCAGAATAACTTAAATTTGCCCTGCTTTTGCTTTTATAGGAAGTGTGCATTTTCTGCACTCTGTAGACAAAGCAACTACACTACAAAGAACAATTTTTAAAGTTTTGACTCAAAAACTGATTTGCTAGCTCTTCCTGGGTAGGCATACAAGTAAAAATAATGCACTTTTAGGAAGTACTGGTTGCAACACATCCAGATCCTCAGGAGCTCTGACAATGTAAGCCTTTTTTTATTTGAAATGTCTTGGCATGACTTAGGAATGTAACTTCTTATCTAGATTTTACATTTAAATTTTGTCATAAGATCTTACCAGAGAGACAGAAGAGTTGGTGTCAAAGTCAAGAGCGGAGAGAGGGTGTGCATCTCTTGAGGAATATACCAGTGAAGGCATTGCTCCATCCACAGCTCTCTAGGATAATCTTGTTGCAGAACCAGAAAAGGTGGAGAAAGCCTCATCCAGTCCTGAATAGCTGGTACCTTGTCTTTATATTGCTTTGTTGTGGGAGGTACAGTTTTACTTCCCCTCTTCTGAATCAGCCAGATCAGGAATTTTTCAAGTAATGGTCTGATTTTCAGCATTACAGATGATGCTTTTTGACTGTGTTGGATTTTTTGTTAGGATATTTGTTGTGGTTATTTTTTTTTTCTCCTGTGAAAAATTTTAATAATAAAAAATATAAAGTTTCCTCAAATAGCTTCTGGACACTGAGCTATTAATGGATCAGAAAGCTATTGTACTGTGTTGCACTGTGCTCTTTAAAAAACAGAAGTTGCTGCCCTGAAGAGTGAATGCAAAGCAGAGCTACTGCCTCTGCTTCTGCATATTACTTGAGGTAATATGGTTTAAAGGGGAGTACTCATATATGTGGCTTTGTCTGCTTGTTTTGCTTTTAAGTCAGTGATGGGTTTTTATTTTTCCCCTGCATTTTTTAGTCTCAGAAAGAGTAGGTTCTGTTTATAAGGATGAGGCTCTGGGGTGCTCACTACTGTAAGGCAGAGAGGGTGTTGCTGAACAAGTTGTCACTCTATTGAGTAACAGCTATGACAAGCTCAGGGGAGTAGTACCCTGGAAACATAGCCCAGCAGGGACATTAGGGGCTTTTGTCTCACACTACTTGGAGGCAGTCTAATATAAACACACCCCTTAGAGAGAGAGAAGCATTGGGACTTTAGAGATGCATATCTGGTTTTGGACTTTGGATTTACTGGCATATGGAAAACAGAGAATTTCCACTTATGCCAAGAGCTTTGCACATTTTTTTGAAGTTGGATATGAATCAGAAGAGTTTAGGATTCCCAAGAAAGATAATTGCTTATTTCAGATGTCATGCAGACATTTATATCTATGCTATCTTTGTAGCTTAAGCCCATACTATATGAATTTTCCTATCATAAATTATGTGGATAAAGATTGAAAATGCTGTTAAATTTAAAATTCAATCAACACTAGCTCCTAGCAGTCATTGAGTAACTCGATTTCCCAGTAGTAGGAGGCAATGTATAGTTGATTTATAGCAGTTAAACAGAAGCTTTGCATAAGGAAATAAATTCATTCAGATAACAAGGTATCATATAGTTTGATGGCTCAGTATACATTTTTTCCTACATTGATTCACTCTTCTGTATACAGCCCTGGTGTAAAAATATCTCAGTGCTGTATGTGTGTTGCAGCTCACTGCCCGAAATCTTAAGTGGAAATTTGTTTAGACTCAGTTCTTATTCTTGACTCCATTGTTTTTGGGGAGGAAAAAACAACACTTATTTTACCTTTTAAATTTTATTTTATTATACAGTGATGTTAAATTAATTCTGAGGAAAATGTACACAGTGTTCTAGTAGCTGGGAAATGTATATATAGCAGGATGTTTTAAAGCAGTTTTGTCTATGTATTCCTGTTTGTAACAGTAACATATTTGGATTCCTCCTTTTACATGGTGCTAACTTTTCCAAGTGTCTTGATTAATTTTGCCAGCATGTAGCCCCAAGTACTTTATTTTTATACTTTTTAAAGTTTGAAAGGAAATTTGAAGTTTTAAATGCTCATGTTAAAATGATTTCTAGGATGCAAAAATTAAGATGAAGTTGAACTCCAAAATTACAGCATCTTGAATTTCTTTATGGGACATCAGATAGTCTCCTGGAAGAAATAATCAACTTGATACACATGTTTATTTCTAGTTATAAAAGGTCTTGTTTTACTAAGCAACTGTACTTTGAGATCAAATTAACTTATTCGGAGGATGTTATTTTCCTCAAAAGTCATGCTGAGTTTAAGAACTCCTCACAAAAGAGTTTAGAAAGTGGTACTGTACCTAAAGCATTAACTTCAGTCATCACAAGTTACTTTGTTTTAATCACACAGGCTTCTGAGAGAGAGGTGAGAAGAAGAACCAGTTTGTCTGAGACATTTCCAAATGCTCTAAACTACCAGGAGACATAATTGCTTTATGGGGGCCAGGCTTGTGGAGAGAGCATGTATTTTTATCAGATAAACCTGGGAGAAACAAAGCTATCGTAACCCACTGATTGAAGCCTCCTGTGAGCATAATGGTCCCTAAGAAGGAAGGTGCACAGGGGAAAAAGACAGTAGGGGATGAGCAAGAGAAGCAAGTGGAAACTGGGGAAGACACAGTATAGCTGAAGTGATATGACAATATGGGGCCATTTTCCTGCAGTGTGGAGCAGGTAACTTCACCTCAGTAACTTGGAAGCCGATATCATTATAAAATTGAGCAACTGTTTTAACTTCAGGAAGGAAAACAACCTACTTTTTCATTTGTGTTTGACTTAAGAAACAGTCCTTGGACTTTGGTTAGCCTCTAAACTCAAAAGTTCATTTCTAACATACAATTTGTCACAGACCTTTGACATAGATTTTTAAAATACTTTTTCTGTGTGCTGCTATGCACACTTTTACAGCCTTGTAATAAACTTTTCAGATGTGAAGGAAGCACAGCCTTTGCATATAAGAATATATGTCCACAGCTGAAGAAATGTGCAGGCTTCTAATTCCAGTTTGGTCCCAATAGTCTTTTAATGTAGTTTATATTGTAGAGTCACTGTCAAATATTTTCATTTTTATGGTCTGAAGGCTATGTTGAATGAAACTTTCTGAAGCTGGCCTTTCAGAGAATCTGACATCCTGTGGTCTGGTGGACCGGTTCTTTTTTATGGAATTTTGAATGGTATCTGATGTGAAGTAATAGACAATGGGGTCAAAACAGCAGTTTGAAACAGCGATGCACAGAGTTATGGGGTACATAGTCCTGACTGCAGTCACCACTGAGCAATTGACCCAGGTCTGTGTTCTCATCAGGGAGTAAAGTATTAAGGTAATGTTATAAGGCACAAAGCAGAAGCAGAATATCACCAAATGGACAAAAATCATTTTGAGTACCTTTTTCTTGCTTACTTTATTCCGGCTTAATGTAAGCGGTTTATTCAGGGTCCGTAGGACCATAGTGGAGCAGGTCACGTTCAGGATGAGCGGGATAAAAAACCCAACGGTTTCAATGAAGATAACAATCCGGGATAGGTAGGTTTTCCACGTGTCCTCTGAAAAGTTTTCAAAGCACGTCCTTTGTTCTGTATTGTTCCGGCGGTTTGTGGACTGGAAAAAGCTTGCTGGTGTGCTGCCTGCTAGCACGGTTATCCATACTGCAGCACAGACAATCTTTGCATTCCTTTTGGTCCGGAGAGTCTTGGATCGGAAGGGGTGTACTATAGCTAAAAAGCGATCCACGCTGATGCAAGTCAGAAACAAAATGCTCCCATACATATTTGTGTAAAAGAGAGTGACAGAAATCTTGCAGAGAATGTCTCCAAATGGCCAGTTTCTGGTTACAAAGTAATAAATCCTGAAGGGTAATGTAAACACAAAAAGCAGATCTGATATGGCTAAATTAAGCATGTAAGTTGTAGTCTCATTTCGCACTTTTAAAGTACAAGTGAAAATGTAGATCGCTGCACAGTTTGCTATGAGGCCAAGAACAAACACCATGCTAAAGATACACCCATACAAAGTATATTTAAAGGAGTCCTCAGTGGAACAATTAGAGCTTACCATTATAATGGTATGTTAAAAATTCCTGTGATTTGGTGTCTTCTCTGGTATTTTTATTGCAACTTTTTTAAAATTCCAGAAGAACTTGCTGGTCAGATGTATTTGAACAGTGTGCTTTGGCAAGTTTGTTACGCTGTGAAGCTTCAGGGAAGGAAGGTGAACTCTCTGGCAGGGGAGTACATCTCCAGCAGAAATCACCAGGAAGTCTCTCTTCTCTGCTGAGTGCTATTTGAAATCACATAGCCAGTCTGCAAAAGTCAGAAAACACATCATTTGTGGCAGATGAGGTCACCCCAAAGCTTGCTTAGTTCCATTTCCCGCCTCGATTCAGTGAAGCCATTGTAGGACTTTCTGCCTTACTCTTGGCTGCAGATTGTGACAGCAAAGCCTTGTCCATCCGAATTTACTGGGAGAGTGTGCTTTAGGAAACGATTTCCTGGACGCTGCGAAGTGCCGGCACTTGCATTTCCCCCTCTCCCTTCTTTCTATACAACAAGTTCGTCGGTTCGCTGGCTGGCCCCATGGGGCGGGAAGCAGAAGCAGAAGGGAGCTGCCTGCCAGGGCAGAAACCAAATTCCAGAGCGTGTTTGTTCCTGCAGCCCTCGGCAGCTCTTGCCAGCCCAGCTCCTTCTGGAGAGCAGAGCAGAGCGCCCAGGCAATTTGTAGCATGACATCACAGGAAGAAGAGGCTGGGCGTGGAAGAATGGTTTCAGTTTGGTTTGTTTGCCTTCCCTGTCTCTGCTGTACCTTGCAGATGTAGCTTGTAGAGTGCTGCAGCTGCTTCTTAACTCTTTCCATGCTCCCTGAGAGGTTCTTTGTCAATGTTGCTGGGGTCTAGAAACCTTTCTTTGTAGTTATGACGAGACTTTGCAGTGTCTAAACTCTCATGGCCTTAAGTTTGTGTTTTCCTTTGGCAATAGTAGTAATTGTGGGATTTTTATAGGATTTTACTAACGTTGTGCCTTTTGTTAATAGCTTTGCTTGTAATAGAGAACACATTAATCACCAGAAATCAGCTGAGTGGTTCTGTCTAAATTCCCCCAATATACCAGTACAAACCTCAAGAAGGACAAAGTAACACTGATAGGTAATTAAATAATTGCACCAAATAATTTCTGAAAGAGAGAGTTGATCTTGGATAGTCACAGGACTGAGATGTGTTGCAGTGGGAAGAGAGATATTTTTAACTTGTTCCATATTAGAAGGCACACCCCAAGCTTTATTTCTAATCAGAAAGGTGGTTCTTTTTAAAAAAAAAAATTACTCCAGTGGTTTTTTTAAATGTTGTGATACAGAAAGCATTTTCTTGACTATATAATCACAGAATTAATACAACAAAATGCATATAGTTGTACTGTGCACATGTAGTTGTACTGTGCAACTGGTTCTGGTAATTTCAAAGGGGACAGTTACCACATATGCACAAAATACTCCCATTAGTCACTAATAATTGAAACAAAAACATGTTGTAACTAATTACATTGTTAAGTAAATATTAAAAAAAAGCAACTCTTATTGCCTTTAGGGCCAGATATGAGATAAATCTCAGTTTAGACAGACTCATTTATTAAACAACTTGGACAGACTCACTTCTGGCATCAAATCCAGTCTATTTCTAAGTCTTAGAATAACAACTCTCTTCATATCTGGCTGGGTGGCATGGTTCTTTTGAACTGTATTTTAATCAGTTGCACCTAAGCAAGGCTCTGGGCAAAACCTTTCTAGTTTGCTGTGAAGGAGAGCAAATAATAGCACTTCACAGGATTTTGGCACAGTTTCTTAGCGTAAGGTATGTTAGATGAAATTCAGAAACATGCAAAAGTAGGTCTTGCTTATTTTATTTCAAGTTTTCTTTATAGTTTTCTGTGAAACACTTTCACCTTGATTTTGAGGTGAAATCAAGCAGTTTAACTTCAATAGGCTATAGCCACAAGAAACCTTTTTGACTATTGAAATCCATGCTTAAATGTAAAGCATAGTGCATCTTGGACTTCTAAGTTAGTCGGAATGAAAATGTGAGCTTGACAGATTCTCTCATGTCCAACTTAACATGTACCTTAGCATACAGGTTTTCCTGGCTTTTCTCACAAAAGCAGTCATCCCACACTAAATTTTGTTTCTGTTCCTGGCAACCTTGCATGGTAAAAGAAGGGTTTTCCTGCACATGTTCTGCATCAGTTTGCAGGAGCTCTGATCTCAGTTTTACTACTCCAACTTTGTTTGCACATGAAGACTCTGTGGGGCAGGCTCAGTTACTGGAATGAAAATCCCTGCAGTACAGAAATTTGGTGTCACAGGTCAAAGCCTCAAGCAATAATTCATGTTTAGGGAGAGAAACTAATGGCAATGAGTGTGTATCTCACTGATTAGAACTTGATTTGGTGTTTTGACAAAAGTGTGGGTGCACAGAGGCAGGGTGGGATGTCCATTTTACCACTGTAAAAGTGCTTTAAAGCAGTGGTGAAGGTGCATCCTCAGCCTTTGCTCTATCTGTCAGAGCTCCTGCCTTGCTGCAGTTCCTTGTTGTTGCTTCTATTACAAGCATGGTTACTATTCAGAGCCTATTTTAGAGCTTTATGTGTATGATTTTGTTGTCATTAGGGCTGTGTTGCCCCTGGACCCTTCTGGTGCAGTGCAGTACATGCACTTTGCACTAATTGACGACTGAAGTGATATTTGTGTATGTCCAGAAATAGCATCAGCTGCAGGGTTTTACCACCTGCAGATGAAAATGTGAAACCCCTTAATTGACAGGTTTTTCCTTCCCTTCTTGTTTCAGCAAGGAGAGTTATGACTGAGCAGGCAGTCTGAGTTGTTTTAGTGTAAAAGTGTAAATGGCAAAGATGAATTGTATATCCACTTTCTTAATTTTGATGTAGCTGATTGTTACCAAGCAGTGTTTTAATTTCTGTGAGCTTGTCCAAGCTGAAGAACCTGTGTTAGTGCACTGGGAGCAGCTGGGAGTCAGGAGTGGCTTCCCTTCTGGCCAGGCTCCAGCATGAGCTGGGGAGAAGCCTCATTTTGCTCTCTCCTTGTATTGGATCATGTTTTAAGATGTTGGGCTTTGTGCCAACAGGTCCAGAAAAGACTTTAGTAGCCCCCAACACCTTAAATTTTAAGAAGTTTAACAGTTATGGAAGAAGAATTGAAAGGGTAATGGCCCTGCTTATACTCCCTCACCACAGGCCATTTTCCTTTAGGATGGGAAGGAGGGGGTAGGCAGGAGGAAGCAGCTGCAGGGCAGGCCTTGTACACTGAGGGGGTTTTTGTCTCCAAAGGAAACAATGCTATTGCTGCAGGGAAATGCATATGTGAGTCTGTCTGCCTTTCTGCATCAGAGATGGGAATGAGTTAGGACCTGTCATTTGTTGCTAGTTCTATATGAGCAAAGCCTGCATTTCCATCAACAGGCTTCCTGTGGCTCTCGTAAAGGCACCAAAGGCAGAGTAAGAATGGGCTCCTTAAAGCCAGGAGCTGACGAGATGTTTTAAATCATTTCTCACTTCAGCAACGAGCAAGTTTTTTGCATGGCTTCAGGCAGTTACCACACAACTTTGCTTCTCTGAGTTTAGATACCTGTTTAGCCAATTTTGGATTTGTGTGACAAACCTGTTCCACCACAGGGGTTCAGAAGGAAAAGTGCTTATAACCTTAGCAGTGTTCTAGAGTGGCTGTAGAACACTGTTCTTTGTTCCCCAAGATGCCACAGATTTGATTACTTGCTGTCATTTAGGATGCAGGCAGCAGGATTCCTTAAATTCAGAAGTCCAGGTTGAGTGGCAAAAAAACACTTCACTGAAATAAAACAAATACTTGAAGGCTTTCCAAGCTTTTGGAATTGTGCTGACCAGTGTTGTATGTTCCTTTGGTGGTACCCTCACCTTCAGAGCTAGAATTAAACCAAAGTTGTTGTCCAAGGTGAAATTCATTTGAACTTGTCTAATGTACTGCATTCAGTCTGTGCTGATGCTAATACTGAAAGTTCTTTAGAGGGAAGAAAAGCAACTTCAACATTAATAGCATTGTAATCAATTCTTACAGTGTTTCCAAGGCCAGAAGAGGCACTGTTAAATGAGGGTTGTCAGGTGCACAAAATGCTATGTGTAAGACCATGGTACACTAACTACTGTTACTGCTTTTAGAGGCACACCTGTGTCATGGTACAGGCATTTGTTCTCACTTGGGTTAAGCAGTCATATGCAGAAGAACTTGTGGTGTTTGGTGCAGGGAAGACAAGCCTTGGCAGGATGATATTTTCTTTGACCTATGTATTGTTATTTATCTAGTTATTTTAATGGATTTTAGCTTTTTTTTGTTGTTGTTTTTTTGTCTATTTACTGGAGCTTCTCTTTGAACATGTGTATGTACTGGAAGGAATTTGTTATGGTTGAGAAGTAGGGCTGAGAGCCAAGAAATCTTTTTGGCTGTGCCAGAGATTTTCTGTTCCAATCCTGGCAAAGTTTTCTATGACTTGGTCCTCAAGCTTCCCTCAACATAAGAGCTCATTCACTTCCACACTGTGATGTGAGGCTGTCTTGATTGCTGAATATAGCTGGAGCCCTTGGATAGAGAACCCTCTATTAAATATCATCTTGAGATGATTACAGTGGCTACTGAATGTGACAAAAATATAGACAGATTAAAATTCTGTGTTTTTAGATTAGATTCCAGCCAAGCAAAAGGATCCATTAAGAGACTTCATTTGTTTCACCTCCATAAGTCTCTGGAAAAAATAGGTATTGAGGAAGCAGGGCTGGCTATTTTGGTCTTCTCAGCTGTTTTTTGGGGCTGCCTGCTCAGGCTGAAGTCACTCTAAGACTGCTTCTGAGAACTGGCTCACTGCTGTCTTAAAAGGCAGTGGTGGTCTCCACCTATGCAGATAGAGTGAAGCTGTTAAAATGTCGCTGTCGAGGCAGGATGGGATGAGAAGACTCTGACTCATTATCATCATTTCCCTTTTTTGTGTTGGTGTGGCAGGCAAGTCTTCAAATGAGCATTATAAAACTTAAGATGAACAGAGTATTTTTAGCTAGCCAGCCTAATCCCTTGCAACTGTTGCAGAGGCAGTTAAAGGCTCCTCCATGTCAGGAAACTTGCTAGCTTAATGCATATGAAATCACACATACAAATTACAAGTAAAAATTGGTTGTGTAATTGCTTAAAAAGGGAAAAGGAAGCTCAGAATAAAATTATTCCAGACTTCTTCCTTCTTGTGCATTTGAAATGCTTCTCTTTCCTCTTTGAAATTGTTTCAGTTTCCTTTACAAGAGACACAGCTGCTCCTCACTTGCTTGTGGATAGAGGAAACAATTTCTCTCCCTTGGTATGACTTTTTAGGCTAGAGTACTTTTTTCCCCCTATGCTCTTGGGTTGATGTTGTAAGTCTAGTTGGTCTCATGGTAGACTAGTAGAGGTTAGATAACCTAATGAAATATTTTTGAGCTTTAATCTGTGGATTGGTTGGTTTAAAAGAGATGGACTAAAGAGCAAAGGAAAGGATCATAGAGATTAAAAGTGGATGATGAAAAGTGGATGTTTATGTTCTTCAGAAGGAAGGAAAATGGAAAAAAGACTATAAACAATCTTAACAGCATGTTTTTCAGTGGATAGGAATAGAAT